ATTTCTCGGGTTTCTACACAAAGTTGCTCGACACGGTCACCATAGGGATAGCCCTTTGGTTGCCCAAAGCAGATGCACCGTATTGTGAACTATTGTTCACCGGAGCTTCGCTTTCAGAGTGTGTCAACTGGCACATTCTGTCCAACATTATTCTCGTTTTCTTGCAAAGCCATTTTTTGTTTTCTTACGTTTTCCGAAAACACAAAAAAATAAGTTCGCTCACCAAAGTGACAAACTACGATTTTAATATTGTATCCGTGTGATACAAGCTTAGCAAAATACGTTTTAAGATTGTATCCGTGTGATACAAGCTTAGAGAAATACGTTTTAAGTTTATTGGGTGTGTTTCGAAAAACAAAGAAATAATTAAAAAAAATTAATTAATTAAAATGACTAAAGAAAAACAGAAAATAGATGAAGCAGAATTAGCCAAAGCTCGTGCAACGCACGATGTCCTTAAAATGTATTCGTTGCCTCCCGAGGTGCTAGGAGCGTTGCAGCGATCGTTTCCCAGGATACGATGACTACGAACAATTGTTTGAGCACTCAAACAAATTGTTCCGGCGAACGTGAACAAGTATGAACACCAAGGAATTTTCAAAGAAAGCTGGAAGGTTTTTAAGCTAGAGAAGTCTGCAGTTCGTGTATGAATTGTGTTTTAAACGTGGTGTTGATGAAAACCACCTGCCAGTCTTTTATAGGGAAGATTTGTTGTGTGTTAATGACTGTTTAATGGACATGAACGTTGGTAATCAATGTCCAGCACGTTGGCATTGATTCATCCAGAAAATTGTCCAATTAATTGCAAAGGAACGTTGGGCATTTAATTGCTGTAACGGCAACAGTACGCTGCCGCGAGCTGCGGACTCAGCAGGCGGCTGCGGGCAGCAACCTCAACAGCTGGTTGTGGGCAGCAGCCTCAGCAGCCAGCTGCGGGCAGCGGCCTCAGCAGGCAACTGCGGACAGCAGCCTCAGAAGTCAGCTGCGTGCAGCAACCTCAACAGGAAATTCGGGCAGTAGGCTGCTCCAACGGGCTGAACTTCGAGAATCAATTTCTCATTCACCCGTTATCCGTTTTGAGTGTACCACATATCGAATTGTAGCCCTTAGCAAGGACAATCTGAAACCACTTTGACCTGACCCAAATAGAAAGTAGACCCCACTCAAAATATTGACCCAAAATGACCATTTAGTGCAATTTATTAACACATTTTCCAACATTATCTGACCCGATAAAATAAAATATAATTAAAACAGTACGAGAAATACAACTTTCGGGGCTGATTGTGCAGTTGGAGACTTATTGGGATGACCTCCCACATTAGTGGGGGGCACCCCGCAAATTTGTCAACAATGAGAGCTTGATTGAGTGCAAAGGGGGCTGAAAACATATGAAGGGATGGGGGAGACCATCTTTGACATCTAAAGGACCCCTCTCACACTCGATTGGCCAATGAGACAAAAAGGAAACCTCTCCCCCCTTTCATCATCACTGCATCTCGCCTAAAGCACCAAAATAGGAGTAAGAAGCTCTGCAAACTCCATCTTCATTGCTCCAAATCGATCTCAAGCAAATTTGGCCCAAAGAGGAAGATTAAAGAAGGAAAAAGTTAGGAAAAGTGTGAAGGGTTAAGGTAATGACCTCATAATAACTTTTCCTCTACTTTTTATTTATCATATGACTTATATATCATATGGAAGACCCCTAGGATTGTTCTACATGTTTAGAAGTGTATAAAGAGGGGTTAGAAGGTGGTTCTAAGTCCAAGAACGGACTTAGAAGCGAAAATGACCGGTTCATCGGAAAATAACCTTTTAGAGGTTATTTGTGTTGATATGGTTTTTGTGATGATAAAACCTTGTTATGAACTTGTCTAAGGAGTTCCTAGAGCTTTCATGGAGTTGAAATAGTTGCCGGAGTAATCGCCAGTGTTCAACAAAGTTCGCCGGAGTTTCACCGGAGTTCAACTGAGAAGGGTAGAACTTCATAAAGGTCATTCGAGGTGAGTGGATGGCTTAATGTCTTGTAACTCTTGGGTTAAGTATAATATTACCTAAAGAAATGTTATAAGTATTCATAATGATGTTTAAAGGAATTTAAGCATGTGATTAGCCAAGGAAATTAGGCTTATGCGAATGATACTACATCATTATGCATGTTAAAAGTATAAAATGTGTATAAAAAGATGTGTGATGTTTTGGATGATTAAAATGGGATATAATGGTTGTTTAATACCTAATATATGTTGTATAAAAGTTTCGGATCGATCAGAGATCATCCGGGGGGTCAACGGACTGCCGCCGTTGGCAAACGGTGAACCGGCGCCGGCCATAAGGCCGAACCGGCGTCGGGTTTGCTACTGCCTGGACGGTCTGGGAAATTTGACATATAACTGGCACCGGTTATGGGGTATAACTGGAACCGGTTATGGGGTATAACCAGTGCCGGTTAAGCTGCTGCCTACAAATTTCGTTTTCGCCGAAAACACGTTCGAGGCCCGGTTCGAAGGGGGATTTACCCCGACCATCCTATATATGTGTATTGTGCATGGAATTGCATGGTATATGTTATTTAAATGTCAACAATTGATATCTATTGATTGATTCTAAGACTTGGTTTAGTCTTTAATAATAATATGATATAGACCCTATCTAGTATGATATGTGATAGATCATAGGTCGGGTGGAGTACCCAAGGATCGGGCGTGTATCCTCAAAACTCGATAGATAAATGGTGCAGAACCCAAGGACGACGGTATTGTCCTCAAAACTCATATGTTTAGATGGTGGAAAACCCAAGGACGACAGTACCGTCCTCAAAACTCAGAAGTATAAATGGTGGAGATCCAAGGACGATGGTACTGTCCTCAAACCTCGGTATATGAACGGTGGAGAACCCAAGGACGACGATATTGTCCTCAAAACTCAGAATATAAAATGACTAGGACCACGGGGAGTCCTATACACTCATAGGTATATGGGTGGGTTGGGATTTAAGTCAAGGGTATTGACTACTATGATTTTCCCAAACAAACAATGACCTACGAGTCGGGTATTTCCAATTGTATATATACTGATATATATTTTATAACTTGGGGGAAAGGATTATACGTGTATGTATCACCCTATGTTTGGGTCTTATACTTGAAACGTTAGTTACTCTACATATAGCTTGCTACTCGCTCGGTACTTGTATTGACCCCTTTGGGGGGGCACCATTTTCGGGTTGAAGCTAGGGCTGGCTACCTGCACCTTCTTACGGGTGAATTCAACTCAAGGAAGACGTGGTTCGTGTTTCCTTATTTCCTTTCAAACTACCGAACACTTGCTCATGGATATTTGATTTACTATAAACTATATTGGGCATGTGAGCCCATGTTTTGGCCGGTTGTGGCCCATGCTTTACCGTTGAATATTTTCGTTATTCATTGATCTAAATGTGTTGTTGTTATGTATGTTTACTACTGAGTATGGATGGATTATGTTCATGGACGCTTTGTATGATTAAGTTACGTTGACTTGCGAGTGACGTCACTTAGTCATACGGCGGTTGTACACGCGCTTAGATGCGGTCTGCGGCGTGACACAGTCCATCCATCCCCTTCTCCTCACAACCCCCTTCAGTCCCTTTCCCATTCAACCCCACCCTAGCCCCTCCCCCCCAACCACCTGCCATCATCCCCAAATAAAACTGAAAGAAGTGGGAAAGAATGACAAAACCAGCCCCTCAATGACTACCGCCAGTGACCCGCCCGTTCAGTGACCACCACCATCTCGGCCAGTGACCACCAACAACTCCCCTGCCACATGTCCCAGTCACTATCCCATTCCCGGCCACTGCCCCAAAGCCCTAGCTTTGCCCCATCGCCCTACCCCCAACCCGCCGCAACACATGCCCTGTAATTTACTGCCGCTCCTCCTCTCTGATAACCGCCACTACCCCCCTTCCCCACCTGGCCCCCTTCCCTACCCGGCCCCTGGTTCGGCCATTGCTCGTACCCCCAATCCGTAGCCCAGATTCCCTTCCAGATCTTCAACGCCGATGGCGAGCGACTCAGGCGAGGAGGCGACGATGAGCGGCTAAGGCGTGAGGACGTGGGCTCCCGACTCTCACCATTGCTTATCAATGGCCCTCCAATCGCCGATAGAAAAGAGAAGAAAAAGAAAAGTTGTGGCGATGGTGCTTGAGAGATGAATCAGCACCGCTGGCGATCGAGAGACGAAGCGGCGACGATGGCGCTTGAGGTGAAACAGTGACGGACGTCATGTGAGATGTGAAGCAGCGTCGGTAAGCGGGTGAGAGAGGTGATGCAGTGTCCGGCGAGCGAGAGCAAGGAAGCGGCTGCATACCAAAGGCTGAAGCATCGATCGATGATATTGGATGGTTTTAGGAGTTTTTTCTCGGGAGGAGTACTTTCTAAACTTATTTCCCAAAGTAGAGTACTATTAAACTTATTTCCCAAATGGGGTTAGTTTTTCCATGTCACTGTGCCATGTCAGCACCCGAATTATATTCAATTTCCACCTCATTTATGGTGCCACATCATATGTCCATATCATCCCATTTACATGTATCTTTTTAAAAATAATAAAAAGAAGAGGCTAGTGGGAATTGAACCCAGACCCACACGTTTAACATTCACAACCTTAGACCATTGCACCACCAACCTCATTGATTACAATCTCATTTTCAAACGTATATTCTCTTAACATGAAAATGAGATTGTAACTAGTGAGGTTGGCGGTGCAATGGTTAAAGGTATAAATGATAGTTGTGTGGGTGTGAGTTCCATTCTCACCAGCCTCTTCTTTTTATTATTTTTAAAAAGATACATGTAAATGAGATGACGTGGACATATGATGTGGCACGTAAATGAGGTGGAAATAGAGTTTAAAAGTACCCTAATTTGAAAAATAAGTTTAGATAGTAAGTAATACCTGTATTTTTGGTAATACAGGGGTCGTTATAAAAAAGAAAGCAGGGCGTTGAGGAGAGGGAGGGGTGAACAATGGCGACAAGAGGGCTTTGAGGAGAATAGGGCGAGGGTGACGACGAGTAGTGTGAAAAGAGATAGAAGAAGCGCATGTACGATGGGCAACTTACAGCAGGTGTAGGATATCATATAATTGACCTTACACACAGAAGTATACATGTTCCGAGATATGGTAAAGTGGCCCTAGTTGGGGGGAAACTCCATTATCCAACACAAAGCGCCAACTCCCAAGTTGTGCGAGGGAACAAGACCGTTGGGAATTTGGATCAAAGCCCCTTGGCTGCCCAATCGTATTGACTGTTGGGAAGACGGCTTTTAAGCGATGTTGAGGAGATGGTGGTGGGGAGACGGCTTTCCTCCTTCACTTCCAGCGTTGGGAATCTGCTCCTCGTTGCGTCCATCGCCAAAGCCTTAGCAGAGCCCGGAGGATCGCGAAACCTCAACTCCTCCACCCCCCTTTCCGAATATCTCGTCCTCCGAGTCCTCCGCCGCAACTCCCTCGACGCATCCAGGAAGCTCGATTTCTTCCGATGGTGCTCTCTTCTCCCCGAATTCAAGCATTCCGCCGCCACGTACTCCCAGATTTTCAAAACCATTTGCACTTGCCGCGGCTACCACGACCAGATTCCCGGCCTTCTCGACTCCATGAGGCACGACGGCGCAGAGCTCGACTCCCCCACCTTCAAGCTGCTCCTCGACTCATTCATCCGAGCTGGCAAGTACGACGCCGCCCTCGAAATTTTGGATCTAGTAGAAAGCAATTTTTCAGATGACATTGTTCGCAATAGCTTGAGCAATGTTGCTTATAACTCCGTTGTGGTTGCACTTGTCCGGAAGAATCAGCTCAGCACGGCCTTATCCATGTTCCTCAAACTATTAGACTCTAGTAAGAAAGGCGATTTCATAGAAGACCATTTTTCCTGTAATGAACTGCTTGTTGGCCTCAAGAGGGCTGGTATGAGAGCTGAGTTCAAACATATCTTTGATAAGCTCAGAGAAAGGAGGCATCCTTATCCATTAGACAGGTGTGGCTATAATATATGCATTCATACTTTCGGTCTATGGGGAAATTTGGACACTTCTCTATTATTGTTTAAAGAAATGAAGGAGAGGGGTGATGCCTTTACTCCAGACCTCTGCACTTATAACAGCCTCATTCAAACTCTATGCTTTCTCGGGAAGGTGAATGATGCTCTCATCGTCTGGGAGGAACTGAAGAGTTCTTCAGGTCTGGAACCCGATTACTACACTTACCGCATTCTGATTCATGGCTGCTCAAAGTCATATCGAGTAAACGATGCCATGAGAATATTCAATGAGATGAAGTATAACGGCCTGCGAGCAGATACCTTTGTTTATAACTCTCTATTGAGCGGATTACTGAAGTCTAGGAAGCTAACAGATGCCTGCAATCTGTTCGATAAAATGGTTGAAGATGATGGTATTCGGGCCAGTTGCTGGACCTATAACATTCTCATTGATGGTTTGTTTAAGAACGGAAGGGATGTGGCGGCTTATACACTCTTCTGTGATTTGAAAAAGAAGAGTAACAATTGTGTGGACGGGATAAGTTATAGCATTGTGATTTTGCATCTCTGCAAGGACGGTATGTCTGAGAAAGCAATGGAGTTGATGAATGAGATGGGAGGCAGAGGATTTACTATCGACTTGGTCACTATCACTTCACTATTGATTGCAATCTACCGTGAGGGGCACTTGGACTGGATCGATAAGCTTTTAAAGCATATTAAGGATAGGAATTTAGTTCCCATTGTATTAACGTGGAAAGCGTCCATGGAGACTATGCTAGAAGCTAGACAAAGCAAAGAAAAAGACTTCACACCAATGTTTCCATATGATGGCGACTTGACCAATGTTTTAAGCGGTATTGTCGGAGGCTTAGGTACAGTAGAGAGAGGGGCTTACACAGGTGATGATGAAATTGATCCTTGGTCGTCGTCCCCATACGTGGATTTTCTAGCTAGCCAAACGATCCCTAACACTCCCTCTCCACATTTGTTCACACTTTCCAAAGGAAAACGTGTCGCTGACAAGGATCCAAATTCATTTGATTTGGACATGGTGAATACATTCTTATCCGTATTCCTAGCTAAGGGTAAATTGAGTTTGGCCTGCAAATTACTTGAGATTTTCACAGATGTGGGGGGTATGGACCCCGTGAGCTACACCTATAACTCCATGATGAGTTCATTCGTCAAGAAGGGGTACTTCAATGAGGCGTGGGGTGTTTTGCTTCAAATGAGAGAGAAGGTCTGCCCAGGGGATATAGCAACATATAATGTTATAATTCAAGGTCTTGGAAAGATGGGAAGGGCAGATATGGCAAGTGATATTCTTGATAGACTGATGAGTAAGGGCGGCGGTTACCTTGACAATGTGATGTATAACACATTGATTAATGTGTTTGGGAAAGCGGGCAGGATTGAGGAAGCAAATCGGCTTTTCCAACAGATGAAAAGTGTGGGGATAAATCCTGACGTTGTGACTTATAATACACTTATTGAAGTTCACAGCAAGGCTGGGAGGCTGAAGGAAGCTTATGAATTTTTGAAGATTATGTTGGATGCTGGGTGTGTCCCAAACAATGTGACTGATACAATTCTAGATTCCCTCGAGGAGGAGATTGAGAATGTGAGATACCAAAAGGCATCAATAAAAGGCCCTAATGTAAATGGTTAGCTTCCTTATGAATAACATTTTTTTGGCATATCTACAGTTGACTGTATGTACACTGGGACAATTCTGTAATATGCAAAAAAAAAAGTACAAGTCTGTAATTCACTCTTCCGAGTCCTTCGTTCCATGCAACTTTATTTTGGCAAAATATGTCTTCAAGGCTTGAAGCGCCTACACATTACGGAGTAAATTTTGATTCCATTGACCACCTCAACTTATAGTTGGACATTCACGGACCTATGAGCACACCATAGATAAATTAACACCCCACCCATCACTATTTTTGTCAACATCTTACATAATTCCCAACATCTTTTTGTAATCATCATAACTCATCAAGGTCCTCTCTCTTCTGGCATAATTTTCCATTGATGCGCAAAATAAATGAAAAATGAAAATGAAAATGAAATGACAACCCGAGTAATAATTCATCAGTGACTTGTTTTATTTGGATGACTTAGACAGCAAGTCAATTAGCAATACCATGTGCTCACAATGACCTGCTCAATATAAAGTAACAAAAATTCATTTTGTACACCTTATACACATCAATACACCCCTTTGTCTGTGAGAGTTTATTTTTGTCTATGAATTCCAGACCACAGACAAAAATTGGCTTGTTTTGTCTGTGAAAAATTCTACAGACAAAACAAGTCAGTTTTTGTCTGTGGACTGGAATTCACAGACAAAAAAATCTCGCAAACACGAGGGTGTGCTGATGTGTATAAGAAGGTGTACACCAAGAATTGTTGATAAAGTAAGATGCATTCCAATACCGAGTCCAGGAACCAACCAGACAACTTAGCTAAGAAGAGTAAAATGTATTGTCCCCGATTTATTTCATAACTAGTTAACATAGACTTTTAAAATATTCGGCAATTAGCCCTATAGGATTAAAAGTAGCCCTAAATGTAATAATAAGACTAATCCTTCGATTGAATGACATAAATATTACCCCTTATGTCCCTTAAAACTTTGTCAAGTTTGTCCGGCACGGAGATTTATAAAGTAAAAAGTTTGTGGTTGAAGTTTGTGCAGAGAAAAGAGAATTAACAGGAACCACAAATTCTTTATTTGAAAAGGAAAGTGGCAAAGTTAGTGGGACATCCAAAAAAGGAAAGTTTACAAAAATTTAAGGGACGGAAGGAGTACTTTTCGGCTTTTAATGGACAAAAATATGACCAAATTTCGTTTAGACAAAAAATTGACAAAAAAAGACACAAAATTGAATTTCGTTGATAATCCCTAACCGCCACTTCTATTCTATCGTTTCTGCGCTTGAAGACCAGTGGACTCCTACGGGATTGAGCAGGCACGCAGATCGCAGTACTGAGCAGACGTGTATATCGCAGGGGTGGATCAGAGCCGATGGATTGTTTCTTCCTCCGCTACCTTGGCCATTGCCATCGCGATCTGTCAACAGAGGAACGGATCACCGCCGCCGTCCTTGCACTGGTCTTTGCCGCCGTCTTCCTCGCCCTACAAACCTCTTCTTTTTCTTCCCTTTCTATTAAAAGTGTTGAACTTCTCGAGATCTCACGTCGATCTAACCACAACGATTGTGAAGGAGATGGAATGGTGGGCCGGGTCGAGTTCACAAAGCGGCAGGTAGGGTTCAATGATGCGGCCACTAGGGTTCGACGATGCGGCAACGGCTAGGGTTCAATGATGGGATGGTGGTGACGAGGAGGGAATGGTGGGCCGGGTCGAGGCTAGATCGGAGTTGGGGAGGGGTGGATCAAGGCTTTGTTGGGCTAGTCGGAGCTGGAGCAGGGTACGGCTATTGAGGGTGGGTTAGGGGGCGAGCAAGGGGCATGTAGATGAGGAGGGGTAAGGGCAGCAGGCGATTTGGCAGTGTCGGTGGTATGGCGATGCCGAAGGCGTCAGGTGTCACTGGCGGTGGATGGTGGTGGTGTCACAGTCACGGTATCACTGTGACAAGTAGCGATAGTGACATGACGATGGCGAAAGTGGCATGAAAATAAGGCAGTGAAATACATATATAGTTGGGGAGATTTTCCAAAATATGAGTAAATGAAGTTTGGAATTCCAAAATAGGACTACTATGTTTTTATTCCCGAATAGGACTAACATGATAGTATTTATTGTCATCTTGTAGACGTGACTGTCAAATAGTTGCAGTACAGTGCATTTAACATAGACAGTATTAGTTATGATTAATGACAGTATTTTTCAATTATGACAGTATTTTTCATACATGGCAGTAACAACTTTTATTTCAAGAATAAAAACATAGTAGTCCTATTTTGGAATTTCAAACCTCATTTACTCCTATTTTTAGTAATTTCCCTATATAGTTGTCACTTTATTTTAGTCACATTTGTGTCCCAATAGAAATATGATCACATTTTTGAAAATTAACTTTAATTTAGTAATATCAAGAAAAAACTCTAATCCTTTTATTCTCATAATAGGAGTAATATGGGTTACTTTTTCCTATTAATAGATTAATAAGAAAAGCATTATTTTATTTACAATAAAATATAAAAAATAATAAAATTATTTATAAATTAATAATAAATACAAGAAAAAGTAAAATAAAAAATTAAAAAAAATAAAAACTTAAAAAATCTAAATAAAATAAAATAAAATACCCCAAAAAATATTTAAAAATATATAGGCCATCATCACCGCATCGTCCACCTCACAGCACCACCAGCTTCGATCACTGGAAAAAATACCATCTTGTGTAAAAAAGATGCCACATTTCTTTGAAAATTGTCATGATTACATTTTTACTATTTAAAAATATCTAGCTTTCTTTTCAAAATTGTCATCACAGTGACATTCTTTTTCAACTTGGCATTCTTTTTCGATGACCGCAAGTGGCGGTGCTGGAAGGTAGCTGAGGTTAGGGATGGATTGAGCTGGTTCGGACCAATCCGAACCACTACTGTGCGGTACCAAACCGGACCAACCAGCCGGGATTGGGACCAGGCCTTAGGGCCCAAACCGGGGGGGGGGGGGGGGGGGGTTAGGGCAGGCTACAGAATGGTTATTTGGTGGATTGGGCTGGCCAGTCCGGGCCCAATTTTTTTTCAAATGGATTGGGTGCTAAGCGGGTGGGGTGAGTGGTTTGGGGGTGGGGTGGGGGTAGGAATAAATAAGAAAAACCAAATTTAAAAAAAAAACTTAGACCCAACCCGACCCAAGTCGGGCCCGGAACCAACTTGGGTCGGTACCGGGCCTTCGATTCCCAAACCTAGTCCCGCCCAAATCCCGACTCGGGGCCCAGTCTGACCCAGGCCCGGTCCAACCCTAGCCGAGGTGGTGGTTGAAACCTGCATATTATTTATTTATTTATTACGTTTTTTATTTTAATCTTATTATGTTTTATTATTATTATTATTATTTAAAAAGTCCTGTTAAGAATGACAAGGGAAAGGGTAGAATTAGAAGGGATGTTCCTATTTTGGGAGTTTAGACTTCAAACTCCTATTGTTGTAATTTTTCTTTTATTTAGTTCTATTTAGGGAAAACCTTCTAAAATATTCGGAGGCTCCTGGCCAAACCTTTTTGAGTAGCCAAAGATACACTTTTAAAATGTATCTGCAGCTTTGAATCCCCTGTACTGTTTGGTTCACAATTAAACTTGGTTATCAAGTGAAACCATAAGATAATTGAAAGCCTCTTGAACCAAACTTTCGTTAATGGCATAGTGGTCAATTCAAGTGCAATAACGCTTAACCAGAAATGAACACATATCGCAGAAGAAGAAAGAAAGAAAAGACGTTGCAGCTTATTGGTCATTCCCTACACCGAGAATCCACTGTGCAAGATGAGTTAAATATGGCTCAGCTCGAGACCCGCTACTAAAAATTGGTCCTAGGCTCTGAAGCTCACTGGTGAATTCTCTCTCAAACTTCCTGAAATATTATTCATTCACGACTTCTTAGTAGAGACAAAAGCCATAAACACGGGCGATGAGATATAAAATCAAGTCGTCTTTTAACTTACATTATAGATCCAAATACAGTAGCATCTTCAGTCGCTGGTTTCAGCATCTGCGATTGGGTCCTTAGTTTTAAACGGTTGAACTTTTCCGCCAAAGGAGCCACTGTGGGAACCTCGAAGGCAGCAATAATCAACCTTTGAGTAGCTGCTGCGTATTGTAGACATATCGCTTTTAAATGTTCAACCTTCTGCATGCATTAAGAAGAATTCGATCAGTTCAAAAGGTTGAACCAAATTATATTAATCAGCAAATCAAAGAGTGATAGGAGATGTACTACCTTCAGAATAGAAGGTGAAAGAAGCAAGCATTCTCTCAGGCACTTGTCTAGGAAAAAATCATGGCACTGTATTACCTGTTTAACAGGAGAAAGATACAGTAGGCAGGAGGAAAGTTTATGAAGAATTGAATATGTCAAGGCAAAAACTGTGAATCATTTATTCAGATGAAGATATAACTAAGGGTAAGTTCGGTATTACCGCTATCAAGGTTGTTAAAATCGTATGTTTAGATAAGAAACCAGTGAAAGAATTTAGATCCTAAATCGTAAATGGTAAGATTTTATAAAATAAAAAGAATAAATATTATTAAAAAAGATAAAAGAAAATTCAGAAATTATTGGTAATAATAAATCAGACCATACGGTTAAATCTTAGAATGATGTCTTAATCATAGTTCACAAAACAATTAATAGTAAAGTAAATACACATTTCAAAGAACAACCAACAATCATTGAATAAATATGATATTTTAATCAAATTTCACAATAAGTATATGAACAACAAGAGTATAAATTAAAGTTCCATGGTATTGAAAGATCGAATGTTGTACAAATATTAAACAATGATTGACAATGAAATCAAACCCAAAATTCTGAATAATATAGTAAAACAATCCATAAAAAATCGTATTTGTATTTTGTAATTTACGTAGATCTGGATTGCGTAGTTGGGACTATATAAGTATAATAATGGATCCAAATGTATGCATTATTACTTATTAGTTGTGGAAGAGAATTCCTATGGGATGATGATGTGAGTTGTATTCTTGGTTGGCAGTAGTTATTTTAGTTGGGGTTTGGTTCTCTGCTTATGCTTTGCATTTTGTTCCCACACCGGAAGGGCATAAGAACTCCGCTTCTTCTTCACCTTATATAAAACTCCTCTTGATACTTGAGAATCAACAAATCTCGCTGAAAATTGTTCCGGGCATGCTTTGTCATGTAATTCAAAATCGCTCAATCGTTTTAAATCACGATTTTCACCACTTTTAGCGATTGAAGTACAATTTCATACGATTTTAGTGAAATCCGGTTTTATATGGGATTTGAATTGATGTTGTGATTATGAATCGTAAAGTCGTGCAATTTTACGAGTTAAATCTCAACTTTGATAACCTTGACTGCTATAATGTGCTAAACTGTAATTAAAAAGTATTGTGTTATGATGTGGGAGAAAAAGTTTGTTTGCTAAGTGGTATTTATGATATAAATTATATAATAAAGAGCCACTTTGGTAAGATTGGCTTTGGCTAAAACCATGAAATGTGGCTGATAGACAGAGTTGCTGATATTGGTAAATTGCTGGAAAAATATCTGATTTTAAGAAAAGTCTAAGTGATTTCCACAAACCCTACTTTTTCATTTCCACACGGGCATTAAATAAATACATTAGTGTGTTTTGTTAACAATTTCAATGAAAAAGAATAGCCGAAAAAAGGCTACAAACAGACACAAAGTATTGTGGATATATAAAGGTGCATGTGGTAAGAACTCTTTTATAGCTAAATAATTAATAAATTTGTCATGAACTGGGTGCTGTTGTTTGAAAGCATATCCTGACAATCGTGTCTTGACTCTAAAGACAACACTTTTACTATACCATCAAACTTTTGGACAAAAAGTGGTCTCAAAAGCCAGAACAATACCCTAAGTCACGTTGCTTGAATTGAAAATATTTAGGCAAAATTGAATCTTATGAGACCTCACCTCATCAATGCTTTTTGCAGTTTGAAGTCTGTTCTGCATCACATGCCAATTAGGCTCAAGAACCTGAAGAACGAAGACAACATGAAGTTTGACACTCGCGATTGACTTTGAAAAAACATAGTTTCAACTTTCAAGTGAAAAGAATAGTATGAAATAGAAAGGTATGTTTGATGTGAATTATGTGATTTTGGATCCTGTTTCAGCTTTCAATTGATTGAAATTCATTTGTTTGAGAATTTTTCCTTAAACTGACCTTACAATTACAAGTGTTTGCACCGCTGTTTGTATCTTCTGTGAACAAATTCTACTTATTAGACTAAAAAGTGTGAGTAATATACGTGTAGAAGTTAGCTGGCATAGTTAGGCACAGTTAGTTAGAGTCTTGTTAGACAAGTTGTTATAGACTCAACTGTAATTAGCTAAGCCCTGTCTCAAACCCTTCTACATCTACTCAAACAGCTGCTACCACTCCTTCATCTTCCTCCTCAAGTGATAATGTTTCATCTTCATCTCATAATCTGACTCAACATTCACCCACTACTCCCTCTCATTTTTCTTGTCTCTAATTCTAATTCCACATCTGAAGCCAATTCTTCTTCTTCTGAGTCTGAAATGGCAGCAACATCTTCCCATTCTAATTCCATTCCTACTGTTTCTCTAGTACCTCCCACAAATGTTCATACTATGACCACTAGAGCCAAATCAGGAATTGTAAAACCCAGACTTAATCCTACCTTGCTATTAGCCCATTCAGAGCCAAAGACTGTTAAACAGGCAATCACTGATCATGTATGGTATGAATCTATGAAAGCTGAATACCAAGCTCTTATCCAATAGTACCTGGTCCCTTGTGCCACTCCCACCAGACAAACAAGCAATTGGCTGTAAATGGGTCTTTAGAACTAAACAAAATCCTGATGGATCTGTTCATAAACTGAAAGCCAGGCTCGTAGCTAAGGGATTTCATCAAATATATGGATTTGATTCTGGTGAAACCTTCTCTCCAGTTGTTAAGCCTGTTACTATCAGGACTCTACTTACTCTTGCTGTCACAGACCATTGGTCAATTCAACAGTTGGATGTGAATAATGCTTTCCTAAATGGGGACCTTGAAGAAGAGGGTTTATATGGTTCAACCTCCAGGATTTCAAACTACAGATAAATCCTTAGTCTGTGTAGAAAAATGTTACATTATTAGAAAAATGTTACATTATTTTTCCTGATTAGATTGATGTACATAGTGAGTCGGATAGACTTAGTTAGTTGTAGATAAGCTCATAGTTATCTAGATCCTAATTTTTAGGATATGTACTAGCTTGTAGTTATCTGTACAAACTGTATTTATACTCTGGCCGTATGGCTCATTCAATCAAGGAAGTTTAATTCCTAAAACTTACATGGTATCAGAGCAGGTTGTTTAAACACCACAATGGTGGAAACCGAGCAATCTGACTCTTCTCTCCACTCACAAACCCATAACCCTAACTCCCCAAATAGCTCAATGACAAACTACCAGACCTCAGTTCATTCATCTATGCTCATTACTGGCCATAGATTGAATGGAACAAATTATCTCGAATGGTCACAGTCTGTCAAGCTGGCTATTGATGGAAGGGCCAAGCTAGGGTACATAAATGGTGAAATAAAGGAGAAAAAAACTGGTGATGATGGCTACAGTGTCTGGAGGTCAGAAAATTCCTTGGTGACAGCGTGGCTTCTAAGTTCAATGGATGCATCAATTGCCAAACCTCACATGTTCATGAAAACTGCAAAGGAGGTATGGAATTCCATTAAGGAAACTTACTCAGATCTTGAGAACTCTTCTCAGATTTTTGAATTAAAAACAAAGTTGTGGCAGTCCAAACAAGGCAATAGAGATATCATCTCTTACTATAATGAGATGGTATCCCTATGGCAAGAGTTGGATCAGTGCCATGATGATGAGAAGTGGGAGAGTGCCAAGGATCTAGCAAGACACCAAAAAA